ATGTATGTATGTATGTATGTATGTATGTATGTATGTATGTATGTATGTATGTATGTATGTATGTCGAATGCTTGTGTGTTCGTTTGTGTGTATGCATGTTCGTATGTATGTTTGCACGTATGCATGTATGTATGTTTATGTATGTGTGATTGGAGGGGAATATTATGAAAAGGCAGGAAATACTGCTTTCATGTGTTTTCATGTATGTTTATGTGCTTTTGAATGGGCGAAGCAGAGGAAATATTAGGAAAATCTGGGAAAAACTGAAATTATTACGCAACAAGCTGTGAGCAGTCCAGCCAAGATGGATTTTGCTGATTCTGCTATCCATTTCCTAAAACGAGTTCGAATGGGCGGATGAACATCGGCAATACGAGACACGTTGTGTAAGGGCGCATAACGCACAAGCAGAAGCCAAACTTGAAGGCATGCGTGCACATTATTGAGATGAGAATATCAAATAAGGTCAGAGATAAAGAGGAAGGAGGATAATATGGCGAAAAAGATGAAATTAGATAAAAGGAGTGGCGACCAGAGAAAATGGCACCAGGGCGAGACATAACGTGACCTCGACTGTTTTGCGCTTGCCCACTGGCCGAGATTTACTCCGAGTTCGCATCGATTGCTCCGACCAAGCTGCCAAAATAACGATTGCGATCTGGACGTTGTGGTAACAATATTTGTATTCGGTATCGATCATGTATTATGTATGAGTCTGTTTGGCTGTCTGACTTTTCTTCTTCACTTATATTCAGGATTACAATTTTTATGGACTATCAGTAATTCCAGAATGTTAATTGCTATTATTGGTATTACCATTATTCTTGAAGGAGTACTTGGTCACCCTGGGTTGCACAAGGTGGTTAATGACAGTTGGTAGAATTTTTCACACAAGCATATGAATGGGCCCCATGATGCTGGCTGGGCCACTTGGCCTCGCAGGGAATTAGCTCATCCATTATCATAATAGAGCAATCGAAGTGATAGGGGTCTACACATAATTGAGCGCTTGGTGATTACAAACGACAGCGAGAAATTACTGACGAAACTTGTATAGCC